TCATTTAGGGTTTGAAAATTTGGTTTGAACTTATCAAATTTCAAATTTCAAATTTTAAAATATGTAAAACATTGTCACATCCAAGTTTGATTAAACTTAAATGCTGAAGCATGATTTTAGAAATTTTTAGGAAAAAAACCCATCACATTTGGAGTTAGTATGAGGGAGAACAACTAGTTATAAAGTTTACCCAAAGATTAAAAAGAGAAATCACATTGTTCTAGATGATTCTTACATGATCATAGTGAACAGTGTGATTCTTTTTTAATATGTGGGTCAACTTTGTAACTAGTTTTTCTTCCTCGTACTAACTTCAAATTTGATGATTTTTTTCCTAAAATTTTCTAAAATTATTCTCTATAAATTTATTTTGTTGGTTTTGTCAATATATACATATGAAAAGTTTGAGCAATTTAAATTTTGAATTTAAAAAAAATATAACTTCAGACAAGATTTTGGTTCCCCAAATGATTTCAGCTGAAAAAGTGATAAATACCAAAGTTGAATAACTCATCAAGATCTACAACTTTTGTATTGGTCATTTCTTCATATGACAAAGTGGTAACGACATTGTTCACAAATGTGACACATCTCTCATGAGGTTTTATAAATTATATGGGACATGTGTAAGATTAGTGAACAATGTGTGCTAAGAATTTATCAAATGAAAAAATGACCAAAATAAAAGTTGTAGATATTCATGAGTTGAACAACTTTGGTATTCATCGCTTTTTATGTTGAAATCAATTTGGGTCTTAAATTTTGTTTCGAACTTGTCGTTTTTCAAAATTTCCAATTTGAAAGATTCAAATTTTGTCAAATGACAAGATGACTAAAATAAAAGTTGTAGATATTAATGAGTTGAACAACTTTGGTATTTATCACTTTTTATGTTGAAATCATTTTTTGTCTCAAATTTTGGTTTGAACTTGTTATTTTTTAAAATTTCAAATTTGAAAGGTTCAAATTTTGTCAAATGACAAGATGATCAAAATAAAAGTTGTAGATCTCGATGATTTATGAAACTTTGTAGCAGACGTTTTTTCTATTTGAATTCATTTACGGTTTACAAAATTAATTGCAATAGTAACTATGAACTTTACTAGAAATTGAAAATAAAAATAACACAAGACAGTAATGGGCCTAAACCTCAAAATGAACCCGTTAGTATGCTCAGCCCATAATTGCTGACCATCAATTCAAGATCCAACGGCCTTCGTTACGCCCATGGAATATAAAATGGAGTGAAACCCTAGCCCTCTCCCCAATCCCCCGCACCGCGTCCTCCCCACAGCCCTTCACCGCACCCCTCGCCGCAACCCGCAGCCCCGCACCGAGCCCTCTCCCCATATCCCCGCGATGCTCAGGCGTGGATCCGGCGAGGGAGGCATGGATCCGGCTATCTGTTCCTCAAGGCATGTCGGCGCAGTCGGGAGGAGGCAGCTGCAGCGGCGGCGAGCGCGAGCCAGGGAGTCGGCGGCGGCGGCGGCAGGCTCTTGACCGCTCCTCCTCTACAGGCGGTACTTCGTTCCGTGGCCGCTGCTGCACCCATCCGGCAAAACTCGAGCTCACATGTACATGTACTCGCACGCCCCTGCCTACTTCCTTTACCATTCCGTGTCTGCATTGCGTATATTATGGAAGATTTTTCAGTGTGTACTAGAATGCAGCATTGACTATTGTAGTACTAGAATGGGTAATTACAAAGCAGATATCAAAGGTTCATATATATCTTCGTGAGTTGGCAGTATATGTTGAGAGCCTGAGATTGGCACCTGAAATGATAGTCTAAGAGTAGAGAGTTGAGAGCTAAGTATTGTGCTGAGGTGTTGAATTTCCAGCAGGAAAACATTTGAGAAACAAATCTGAGCAGTAGTACTTGAGGAGGTTCCAAAACAAGATGATTTATCAATCATATCATATATATAGAAGACATTAATTTTGTATAAATTATATGATGAAAATATGGTTCTTTTGTTTTCTTCCCTTTTTAATTATGAATAGAGACCCTGTTCATCTTTTTTTTCCTTGCAGCTTCCTGCGTTCTTATATCATTATCTCCATAGACTATTGTAATAATTTGATTTACACCGAAAGGCATCAGTAGAGCGGCAAAGCAAACTTTCAGGAGCTAAGTCAGAAGTTAATCTTATTTCTTAGGTTCAATCTAATATTTGGTAAACCAGTTCACTTGTTGCTTTAGTTCTAGCCACTCTCTTATTAATATGGAATCAGGACATCATAGCTGTACTAAAATAAGATATGCTAGTGTATAATAAAATTTCGGATTTTGGAAAGCAAAGATTATGCTACCATAAATTTTTAGGAATAGAAATATAAAGATTCTGCAGACACGGAATAGACATAATATGGAATCAGGACATCATAGCCTTTGCACCATACTATGTTTTAGGTTTCGAAAAGTAAAGATTCTGCTACTATAGATTTTTAGGAATATGATTTTAAAATGCAAGATAACATATCTAGAAATTAGATCAGGCATTGCTCCATATTATGTTGGGCTTCAGATTTTGAAGGGCCTGAATGCCTGAGAGGTGATGACTGCTCAGTGATTATTTGTTTCTCTGGACTTCATGCAGAACAATTCTGTAACTTGTTGACTGCTCAGTGATTATTTATCTATACTTCATGCAGCCATGCAGCCAGCATTATAATTTCTTTCTTTATAGATTTTTTTTTTCTGTGCCTATTAGTACCTTCATATCAGTATGTTCTTTATCTCGCATTAGCATGATAATTTGAACCTATTTGGTTTCAAGTTAACTTTGACCATCGTGAAATTTAAATTACCTTGCAGCCGTGTTCTCATCCTATTCTGTAACTAAATTAATTTTGTGGTCACTTAGAGATATAAGTTTGTCTCCGAGAAGGCTTGGCGGCACGGGGCTTGGAGCCCGGATTGATACAGGGCGCGGCGACCTCAGCGGCCAGGGAGCTCCTCCTCCGGCAGCTACATCCATAGCAAGCCCCATCCCCGGCGTACATACTTTCGTGGGTACCCATGCTTTTAGGATCTCTCTGTGCACTCTGCAAGCAGAGACATCAGTTAGGCCCTTTTTATTCTACAGTGAACAATCTTTATATTAACTTGTGCTTTGTTTGTTCCTCTAGCCAAATATGTCATTTCGGTTAATGCATATGCTAGCACTTAAGAATTACTTAATTCATTCATGTTGTTTAGTGCTTGTCAGTTGTTTTTGCAAGATGGATTCTGTTCATAAATGTTTTGCATAGCAGCATCTGCAACTGGCTTGTAATGATGATTAGGAATTTTTGGCTATTAGTCTCTCTTGCACTAAGCTTTATAGAATGCTTGCATGTGTGTTGACAGTAGCACTAGATCAATAGCAGCATGTGTGTTGACACTAACAGATTTACCGTTGTTCTATTAGCTATCAATATAGTTTAAAACCTTAAATATAGATTAAAATCTTTAACTTTAGCTGGTTCAATACAGTAGCAGCAGTGCAGTTCTGCAGCACAACAGTTAAGCACCTTTCATCTTGATGCAGTCAAATTAATGTCATCATTATTTCCAGAAAGCAGTTCATTTATGAACATAGGCTACTTATTTTCATTGATGCAGAAAGCAGTTTAGTTTGAGTAATTTATTTAGTCATAAATCTTGCTCTGTTCGGCAGCTATTATTGCTTGAAATATAATGTAATTTAGCAAAATCAGATTCTTAGCCTATTCTGTAACTTCATTCATTTTGTGGTCATGTAGGAATATAAGTTCGGCTCCGAGAAGACTCGCGCTTTGAACACATGCTGTACGTGAAGAGGCAGCATAAATTTCAACCATGAAGAGGATGACAACATAACTATCTATATGTCCTATATATATGTATGTACTACTAGAACTTATTATGTTGAATGGCTAGAACTATGAACCAATATTGTCTTTTAATGTAATGGTTGAACACTTCGATGAAGTTGGAATATATTGGGATTGGAATCAGATACATATATCCATGTATTGGTATTTATTGTATTTGTGTTCTGGATTGACATTTGGACCATATGTGTGCATTTGGAATTTGAATTATTTTTTTTCTGAAAAATCCACTGTAGGGGCGGTTCTTGATTGAACCGCCCTTACAAATACACACAGCAGGGGCGGCTGGTGATACAGCCGCCCTTATAGAAGTCCACTACAGGGCGGCTGAAAACATCAGCCGCCCCTACAGAGGGCACTGTAGGGGCGGCTGAAAACACCAGCCGCCCCTACAGAGGCACCCTCTATAGGAACACCCTGGGAAGGGCGGCTAGCGCAGCCGCCTCTGCAGAGGCTAAAGCCGTCCCTACAGTTAACTTATGTAGTAGTGTATGGAATATACTTTTATAATAAACCTATTTGCAGATATAAATATGGATAATATTTTTATTAACATGGTCAAACTTGGAAAAAATTAACTTAGCCCATACCTAGAACAATTTTTTTAAAATGAAGGGGGTGACAAGAAGAATCACATGCCGGTTGTTTGTTATTTTCACCTTGTGCATGGATGAATATTTGGCATTTTTCATCAACACGCATGTCCATATAAAGTGTGCCCAAATATAAGGTGCATCACTTACATGATTAAACTTTGTCACAATCTAATCACATTCTACTTGTCTACATCAGGGATAAATTGATCTTTTATGTGTCGGTTAATGGTGATAACTAACAAATAGGTAATGAAATTTGAATCTAGCGTCGAACAGGGAACTAAAAAATTTTGAGGATCATAGAAGAAATAAGTGACTTTACTCATATATATAGGGTTTTCTCAAATTTGGTACCTGAGATATCAACTGGGGTGGCAACTCTTGATAATTTAAGTTGTAAAAAACTGCTCATAAGTACTAATTTATAATGCAATGCATCTTTCCTAATTGTATCACCCAACTGAAAATTAAATGAAATTCTAGTAGAACCCTGGGGTGCTCTCGTGTATCCCAACCGCATACAAGAAGATTGCCATCGCTAATAGGATGAAGAGTTTGAGAAAAGAGCTGATGAAAATCAATATGGAATTTGGTAATTTTGAGATCATCAGCACACAAGGCACTAGCACTACTAATGTTCAGCATTACGACAAATTTGAGACATCACATTTTTTGCCGGAAGTAGAAAGGAGGGAAGGAGAAAAACAGGAAATCATAAACCTGTTGTTACATGCAAGATCAAACCATGATGAGAGTGAGATAGTGATTGTTCCTATCTATGCCCTCGGAGGTATGGGCAAGACTACTTTGGCACAACTAGTATACAACGATGACCAATTCAAGAAGCAGTATGATTGTCGTATATGGGTTTATGTCTCCCAAGATTTCAATTTATTGAAAATAGGAAACTCTATAATTTCTCAAGTATCAGCAGAAGGTGCTCAGCAAAATAGGGATCTCCAGAATAGAGGTCTGCAGGTGATAATGGACTGCCTTGATAACCTACTCTGTAACAAGAAAGTTCTGATCGTTCTAGATGACTTATGGGAGAAAGATGACACCGAGTTGAGCAAACTGAAAAATATGCTTCATGTGGGCAAGAAGGGCAGTACGATAGATGTCATAGGAACCACACGAGAGGAAGGAATTTCAAAGAAAGTTTCCACCAGTAAACTATATAAGCTACAGCCTTTGAAGGATGTTGTATGCTGGGAAATAATTAAGAGATCCAGTAAGTGTAACCAAAACGAATTTGAGTGGATAGGACTGGATATTGCAAAGAAATGTGGAGGTGTGCCGTTGGCAGCTGAAGCACTTGGGTACATGTTACAATCCAAAGTTATATCTGAATGGAAAAACATAAATGACAGTGATATCTGGAATGAAACATCAGATGATAGAGTGCTTCCATCCTTGAGGTTGAGTTATCAAAGGATGCCACAGCAGCTGAGGATATGTTTTTCCTATTGTGTCATATTCTCAAAAGGACACAATATTGTTGAAAATGACTTGATTCACCAAAGGAATGTGTTGGGTTTCATTGAGACATCAAAGGGGAAGGAATACATCAAGCACCTTTTGGGAATGTCCTTCCTTCAAGTTTCAAAGACACCCTCGGTATGTTACAATAGAACTCCTAGAACAGTGCCTTTTCTTCCTTGTTTTTGCCTATAGTACGTCACACAGCTCATATAGCTATTCATACTGTCAATTATATGGTTGTAACACCCTAAAATTTACTTCTTTTGAAATAGAGCTAAAATAATTTAATTTTATGTTTTTATGCTCATGAAAATATGGGGAAATAATAAATTTTCATTAGATTAAAATTTATCTTAAGGTCGAAACGTGTTTGTTGCATTCATGCCGGTCGCACCTTGTGTTTCTATGTGCAAAATGTATTTTTTTTAAAAAATACGTTTAGGAGACGAATATATATCTCTAGAAAATTTTCAGCTTCTTTCTAGAATTTAATTCCTACTTCCTTCACCTTAATCTTTATGTTTCAAGTTCCTAACAATCTTTTCATGAGCTCCAAATACTTTATTTGGGTTCATCATATTCCAAAATGTCTCTGGGAAATTTTCTCAAATTTTCGGAGGTCTCGGAGTATTTTTCGTGGCTTAAATATTAATTCTAGACTTTTCTAGAATTATTTTATTCACGAAATTAATTAATTTTGAAAATAAATAATGTATCTCATTTTCCAACCAACTCTCAAAGCCCATGTGCAATAATCCTAATAAATCTCAGAGGCCCATTCATTTATCTTCTAATGGGCTTTAATGATTATTTAAGTCCATTAGTAAATGTGGAGGGTGCAACATCAATTAGTACCATATTGCTCGTTGATGTAGATGTGGGGAGTTTTTCTCCCTATAAATATGTACCAACCCCTTGGGCAAAGCATACCAAAACTACCGTAAGGGGAGCCCCTAGTTTGGGAAATCTCTCGTATAGTAAATTAGATTTTTCTCCTCCTTCTCTCGCCGTCGCCGCCGCGCTGCCCGATGCCGTAGACCCACCGTCGACCGCAAGAAGGCTCTAGGTGAGTTCGCCGTCTTCTCCTCTTATTCCCTGTGCTCTTGGCTCGTTAAACCATGGCCTTTAGGACCCAAACCAAGCGCTCCGGGGAGCTTCTCGCCGCCGATAATAGAGCTTCGCCGCGCCGGTTTTCTTCTCTGGCCGATGACTCTCTCTCCACCTCCTTTCTAATCTGAGCCATCCAGATTCAATCCAACGGTCCAAGATCGCCCGTACCCGTTGGTCAGGTTTATTTGCAAAAGTGCCCCTGCAGTTTCGCGCAATATAACCCGTAGTTCATGGCGCACTTCTAGAATACGTTTTCCTATTCCGAAAGCGTAGTTTCTTTCTAGTAGATTCAAAATGTGTTTTCTCTTTCAGAAAGCATAAAATCCCTCTGTTAGATTCAAAATACGTTTTCTTCTTTTCAAAACGTAGTTTCTTCGGTTAGTTCCAAAATACGCTTTCATCTATTTACAGTTTTGCCACTAGTCTTATTTAGGCCATAAAATCTTCGTTTTAACTCTGTTTTGATCCATTCAAGTTGCGTTAGATTCATAATTGAGTAATCTACATGTTCATCCTACTGTTAAATATATTTTTAACTTTTGAAATTCGAGGTTAGATTTAATCTATTATTTTATTAAAGGAAATCTTGTTTAATTCATAACTTTTTGGTTATAGCTTCAATTAGAGTACTTTTTGCGTCTGTGTATTCATAGCGAGACGTAGATTCGTTTTACAAACTTTTCATCTTGATTTTATGTTTGGTGTATTGTTCTAATTTATTTCTATTGTTTACTTCGTGTATGATTGCATGGATGTTTGTGTGGTGTTTTATGATCATGTCCAGTCGGTGAGCTATACACGGTGAATCTAAAAGCAATTCATTGAATGTTTGGACTAGAAGAAGGATATGAGTTTAAGGCAAATAAAGCATGGGATCTTCCTTGTTGTCCTATTCACCTTAATATCATTTTAATCATATGCATGTGGCTACCTAGGCAACCGTAGTAATTTTTTAGCTATTTAATATTCTTGATTCCTTGATTCCTATGGGTTAATGCATTGGGTAGTATGATGCTAGTGCTCAACTAAAGCCATGACCTTGTAACTTGACTAATGCAATATGCAATAAACATTAAAAGATGCTTTTTAGCAACATGGAACAAGGAGGCTAGAGTATTGGGCTATTTTATGGTGCTCTAGATTTCTCTCCCTAAGGACATATCTGTAAGCGAATATCTGAGACTTTCAGTACAGCTGTGAGGGCTATATGGCTCTGGGTTTAGCTCAGTATGAGGACCTTTTCTAGCTTGTTAGTGGTTACCTTTATGGCACAAGAGGGGCTCCGATAGGTATGACCTTTGCCTATCAGGTTGAGTGCATTTTGGTTTCTTGGTCTTTTGTTAGTCACTCCTTGGAGGGGAGTTCATGCTTATTGATGGGGAAACCTAGCGGTCCTAACTTGTTAGATGAACCTTTGAAAGGCTTCATAGTGAATCCTGCCGACCTTCCTTGGTAGTGGGTCAAGAGGTTGGCCGCCTCGAGCGAAAGGGTAAATCACGACTCACAGTGAAAGTGTACAACATCTGCAGAGTGTAAAACTGGTATATTAGCCGTGCTCACGGTCACGAGCGGCCTTGGACTCTCACGGAATAGATGATGAACACGGATGATACCGATGATGAAGATGCACACTAATGATTACTATTTATGCTGTTCATTATTCATGTTTACCTGATCATGTGTTTATATAGGCTTGTGAATAAACTTGTTGCCACCCTTTTGAGCCTCATGAACCCCATGTTATATTTGTTGAGTACGACATGTACTTACGCTTGCTTTACTTTTTAATTTTTTGAAAAAATCCTGGATGGGTACCAGATTGCTAGAGTTTGGAGAAATTAGGCTTGTGATCAACCAGTCAGTTGTCCCTGTGGAATTGTAGTCTATACCCGAAGATTGGAGTTGTCTTTCCGCTATTTGTTGTCTAAGGTTATATCCTTTTATACTAAGTATGTTATATATTAAGCATTGTCTATTGATATTACCTTTATTTGTAGCTATATGTGAGATTTGACTTTCTGGGCACACATATGGTGTGTATCTGGTTTTGTCCTTAAAACCGGGTGCTACAATTAGGCACAAGAACCCCTCACAAATCACCGATTGGAGCCAGAGACAAGCACCACCCTCCGCTCAACGATCACCGTTGCTCCAAGCCATCTAGGTGGCGACAACCACCAAGAGTAACAAGAAAATCCGCAGCGAATGCAATCCCAAGTGCCACTAGATGCAAAAACTCAAGCAAATGCACTTGGATCACTCTCCCAACTCACTTGGATGATGAACAATCAAAGGAGAGGATTGGGAGTAGAGTATCTCAGCTCTAGGGGATGTGCAATACTTCAAAGTGCCAAGAGAGAGTCCCCCAAGCCGACCAATCCACTTAAGTAGGCGCCCCTCACTTGGACTAGCCATTAGAGCTATCGATTGACCGTCGGACCGCCGGCGCGGGACCGTCGAACCGTCCGAGGCACGGTCCGACACCCATCCGCGGCCACTGCTGTGCTGCCATGTGTCCTACTCAAACGAACTAGCCCTTGCCATGCTCCAATGGCTCTCAGCTGGGCCATCATCCCAACCGTCGAACGTGAACAGTGCGACCGTCGGATCGGTGCACCGTCATGGTCCGACGCACTCCAGAAAGTATGCAAAGAGGTATTTTTCGTCGGATGGTGGTCCGACACTGGCCGTCGGACCAGCGACGGTCCGACCCTCATAGCGAAACCAACTGCTCGCGTGCTCGCCCTGGTGAACAGAGTTCGTGTACCGTCCGATGTCAGCTTCGCGTGGTCCAACTCTCGGTCTGACGCCTTCGCTGGACTACGCTGCTCTCTGCTAGTTAGTGTTAGCCGTCGGACCCTGAGCCGTCTAGTCCGACACTCGGTCCGACGCCCCTGCAACTTCTATTTCAAGCACAATCTCTTCACCCTTGCTCTCATGTGCCATCACCAAAGTGTACCAAACACTTGTGCACGTGTGTTAGCATTTTCAAGAGCATAGTTAGCACATGCTAGGTCCTAATGCATATGCAATGAATTATTTCACCTAGTGGCATTTGATAATTGCATCAACCATGAATTCTCCCATTTTCATAGTACGGCTATCTATACTAAACCCGGCCACGCACTCTATTGCGTCTTGACCGGCAAAACACAATAGCCCTAGCTTTATATTTTTGCCTCGAGCCCATTTTTGTTTCTCTTTCTTCTTTTCCAAGTTGGAGCACTTGATCATCATCTTGTGATAATCTCCATCACTTGAGTGTCATCTAGCTCCACCATGGACTTGAACCAACCTATCTCATTCTACACACTTAGAGCATAGGGTTAGTCTAATAGTTTTCATCAATTATCCAAAACCAAACTAGGGTGCCGGGAACGCTATTGGTCCTCCGATACGCCCGCTGTTGAGATGGAATAAATCCAACAGACGGAACGGAAGGAGACGAATAATGCGGCGTCACATAGAACCTTTTGAATGAAATCTTGGCATCTCTGGCGCGGTATACTAGTTAATTAATTATATATAATAGCAGCCTTATTAAGAAAGCATCTCTCGCGCTGCACTCCCAACATAGAAACTACCATAGTTTCTATCCCTATTAATAATGTTGTCACATAGGTATTTTGCTAATGTGGCGAGCAATTTAATGAAAAGAGAGGAGAAAATGAAGAAACCATTTTTAATTTAGAAACCGAGTCTTCACGAGCATCGAAGCAATAGAAACCACCCCCAACCAGCGTTGTGGAGGAGGGCAATGGTTTCCATCAGCACCTGGGATCCCATGCACGAAGCCTTCTTCTCGCTCGCCGGACCTCGCTCAGCCGGATCTCACGCCATGGCATAACTCAATCGCCGCCGATGGGAGCTCGCGTGCAGGAGGCAGGGGCGGAGCTAGGACGCGGCGGGCAGGTCCGAGGCAGAGGCAGGCATGGGCCGCTCCTCCGCCGCCATCGTGGCTTGCGCCACGGGAGCGCTGCTACCGGGGCAGGCGCGGGCCGCTCTTACGACGCTAGCAGGAGCTCGCGTGCGGGAGGCAAGGCCGGAGCGGGAGCGCAGCGGGCAGGTCTGAGGCCAGGGCAGGTGCAGGCCACTCCTCCGCT